TCCTACAGTGTTACCTATAACACTGCCACCTCCTCTTCACTCCCCCTCTCTGTTGGGGTCCCTCAAGTTCTGTCCTCGGGCCCCTTCTCTTTTCCATCTACACCTCCTCCCTTGGCCAATTGATACACTCTCATGGCTTCAACCACCATCTCTATGCCGACGACACGCAAATCTATCTCTCTACCCCTCACCTCACCCCTTCAGTCTCCGCCCGTATCACAAGCCTGCTGAGTGACATATCGGATTGGATGTCACTCCACTTCCTCAAACTAAATCTTTCCAAAACTGAGTTCCTAGTTTTTTTCCCCCCAGCCCATGCCCCCCCCCCCCCGATTTCTCCATCAAGACCAACACCACCACCATCAGTCCCACCCCTCAAGCCAGAGTACTAGGTGTCATCCTTGACTCCAATCTGTCCTTCCAGCCCCAGGTCCAATCGCTGACAAACTCATGTAGACTTCACCTCCGCAACATCTCCAAAATACGTCCGTTTCTAACCCTGGAGACCACTAAGCAACTCATTCACTCCCTTATTATTTCACGCCTTGACTACTGTAACTCCCTCATCGGCTTACCTCACCGCAGGCTATCCCCGCTTCAGTCAATCTTGAATGCTGCGGCCAGACTCATCCACCTTACAAACCGCTCCGTATCCGCCACCCCCCTCTGCCAATCCCTCCACTGGCTTCCGATTGCCCAACGGATAAAATTCAAAATGCTACCATTGACGTATAAAGCTGTTCATAATACTGCCCCAAACTACATCACCGATCTGGTATCCAAATACCACCCAAAACGTACTCTCCGCTCCTCACAAGACCTCCTACTCTCTAGTTCCCTGGTCTCCTCCTCCCATGCCTGTCTCCAGGACTTCTCCAGGGCTTCTCCCATCCTCTGGAACTCCCTACCCCAATCCATCAGACTATCACCTACTCTCCTCACCTTTAGGCGCACCCTGAAAACCTCTCTCTTCAGGAAAGTCTACCCCGCCCTCAGCTAATTACTGAACTCCTCCACTCTTCCTACCACTCCATCCCCCACAGCTATTTCCTCCTGTACCACTATCCCCTCCCTCCTAGACTGTAAGCTCCAAGGAGCAGGGCCCTCAAACCACTCGTGTATTGAATCGTATTGTTACTGTACTGTCTCGTGTACTGTCTCCCATTATAATGTACAGCGCTGAGCAAACTATTGGCGCTATATACAGTTGTGTTCAAAACAATAGCAGTGTGTTGAAAAAAGTGAATAAAGCTCAGAATCCTTCTAATAGCTTTTATTTCCATACACACAAATGCATTGGGAATTGAAGAAAAGTGAATATTAGACTGTTCAAAAAAATAGCAGTGTTTGTATTCTTCTTTACAAACTCAAACATTCACTATATAAACTGAAAAATGTTTGAAGATTTTGCTTCCTTTGAATCACTTAATTATTATTTATTGTATAACCACTGTTTCTGAGAACTGCTGTACATCTGTGTTGCATGGAGTCAACCAACTTCTGGCACCTGTGAACAGGTATTCCAGCCCAGGATGATTGGACTACTTTCCATAGTTCTTCTCTATTTCTTGGTTTTTTTGCCTCAGAAACTGCATTTTTGATGTCACCCCCACAAGTTTTCTATTGGATTAAGATCCGGGGATTGGGCTGGCCACTCCATAACGTCAATCTTGTTGGTCTGGAACCAAGATGTTGCACGTTTACTGGTGTTTTTGGGGTCGTTGTCTTGTTGGAACACCCATTTCAAGGGCATTTCCCCTTCAGCATAAGGCAGCATGACCTCTTCAAGTATTCTGATGTATTCAAACTGATCCATGATCCCTGGTATGCGATAAATAGGCCCAACACCGTGGTATGAGAAACATCCCCATATCATGTTGCTTGCGCAACCATGCTTCACTGTCTTCACAGTGTACTGTGGCTTGAATTCAGTGTTTGGGGGTCATCTGACAAACTGTCTCCGGCCACTAGACCCAAAAAGAACAATCTTACTTTCATCAGTCCACAAAATGTTGCGCCATTTCTCTTTAGGCCAGTCAATGTGCTCTTTGGCAAATTGTAACCTCTTCAGCACATGTCTCTTTTTTTCACCAGTGGGACTTTGCGGGGGTTTCTTGCAGATAGCTTGGCTTCACATAGGCGTCTTCTAATTGTAACAGTACTCACAGGTAACTTTAGACCTTCTTTGATCTTCCTGGAGCTGATTGTTGGCTGAGTCCTTGCCATTTTGGCTATTCTATCCATTCGAATGGTAGTTTTTCGCTTTCTTCCACGGCTTTCAGGTTTTGGTTCCCATTTTAAAGCATTTGCGATTATTTTAGCTGAGCAGCCTATCATTTTCTGCACTTCTTTATAGGTTTTCCCCTCTCCAATCAACTTTTTAATCAAGGTACACTGTTCTTCTGAACAATGTCTGGAACGACCCATTTTCCTCAGAATTTCAGAGAGACATACACTGTAACCAGCATGTACAACATTTGCTGCCTTCCTTCCTTAAATACAGTTGTGGCCAAAATTATTCAACCCCCAATGCTGTAAAGGGGTTTAGGGACTATAGTGTACATTTGGAATTGTATTCAGAATCAAATCCTACAAGGACGTTGTAACTACCCAAATGCAACTAAAATGACATCAATTGTTTATGTAATACAGTAGTAAATGGTTCTTATGTGGTTTCTTCATTGCCACAATTATTCAACCCCTTAAAGACTACCACTCTGAAGAACAGAGGTTCATACAGGTGCTTTCCATCAGGTATTGAAAACACCTGTGGATGTCACCGAGCAGCAATCAAGCATAATAAGCACCAATTAGGCAGCTTTAAAATGACTGTGATACTCAGCTCCTTCTAGACATTTACTGGTGTGGTTACAAACATGGTGAAGGCAAGAGAATGGTCCAGGAAGACAAGAGAAGAGGTGATTTCTCTTCACAGGAAGGGCAATGGCTATAAGAAGATTGCAAAGATGTTAAACATACCAAGAGACACCTTAGGAAGCATCATTCGCAAATTCAAGGCAAAGGGCACTGTTGAAACGCTACCTGGTCGTGGCAGAAAGAAGATGCTGACTTCGACTGCTGTGCGCTACCTGAAGCGTAGAGTGGAGAGAAGTCCCCGTGTGACTGCTGAGGAACTGAGAAAAGATTTGTCAGATGTGGGTACAGAAGTTTCAGCCCAGACAATAAGACGCACACTGCGTAATGAAGGCCTCCGTGCCAGAACTCCCAGGCGTACCCCCTTGCTGTCTCCAAAGAATAAGAAGAGTCGACTGCAGTATGCCAAAAGCCATGTGGACAAACCACAAAAGTTGTGGGATAGTGTTCTGTGGACTGATGAAACAAAATTAGAACTGTTTGGGCCCATGGATCAACGCTATGTTTGGAGGAGGAAGAACAAGGCCTATGATGAAAAGAACACCTTGCCTACTGTGAAGCATGGTGGAGGGTCAATCATGCTTTGGGGCTGTTTTGCTTCTGCAGGTACAGGGAAGCTTCAGCGTGTGCAAGGTACCATGAATTCTCTTCAGTACCAGGAGATATTGGATGGAAACGTGATGCAGTCCGTCACACACCTGAGGCTTGGGAGACGTTGGACCTTTCAACAGGACAATGATCCCAAGCATACCTCCAAGTCCACTAGAGCATGGTTGCAGAGGAAAGGCTGGAACATTTTGGAGTGGCCATCGCAGTCACCAGACTTAAATCCGATTGAGAACCTCTGGTGGGACTTAAAGAAAGCAGTTGCAGTGCGCAAGCCTAAGAATGTGACTGAACTGGAGGCCTTTGCCCATGAAGAATGGGCGAAGATACCCGTAGATCGCTGCAAGACACTTGTGTCAAGCTATGCTTCACGTTTAAAAGCTGTTATAACTGTAAAAGGATGCTGTACTAAGTACTAAGATTGAATGTCACTTGGGGGTTGAATAAAACTGATAATGCTGTGAGCACAGAAAAGACATTTGTGGTTATTTCATTATAACTGTTATGTTATATTTGTCTGACCTACAAGTGCCTCTTTAATGTAAATGTAAGCAAGATGACTGAATGATCAAAAGCAATGTCAAACTGGCCAAAACACTCAATTTCAGTGGGGGTTGAATAATTTTGGCCACAACTGTAAGGGCAATAATTGCCACCTGTTTTTCAAAGAGTGAATGACCTCACTAATAGAACTCCACACTGCTATTATTTTGAACATGCCCCTTTCAATTAGTGATTCAATTACACAGAATCAGCAGCATGCATGTCATGACTGTTGGGTCTGTTGGATTTCTATTACTGTACTTCACCAGCTAGTAAATTATTTGCCATGTAGAAATATCATTTCTACCAAAAACAGTGATCAGGTTAGTGATGTCTGACTGCTATTATTTTGACCACAGCTGTATGTATGTATGTATGTATGTATGTATGTATGTATGTATGTATGTATATATATATATATATATATATATATATATATATATATATCTCATTGACAGAGACTCCAACGTGCAGGAATACATTTTTTGTATATTATACAATGTTTGTATATGAAACAGGAGAGATGAACAAATTGTAGAATACAGTTCCAATTGGGATTAATGCATACATGCCAATTTTTGCAATCTGAATAGGGATTGTTGAAAGTCAACAGAGAACGTTATAAGCTTTGTATGTGCTTATGTATTTGCTCGTGCTATATACTCTTTATATATTTCTATTTCTATTTTTCCTATATGCAAGTTTATACAACTTTGACTATATGGACATCCCTACAACTTCACTGTAGCATATAATTTCCCTTGGATGATAAGTTGTTTTGTCCCGTACTCAGACAATTTTTCCTTGGGTCTGTTGGATTTCTATTACTCTACTACACCTACTAGTAAGTTATTTGCCATGTAGAAATAGCATTTCTACCAAAAACAGTGATTGATCAGGTTAGTGATGTCGGACTGCTATTATAATAATAATACATAACTTTATAATTTGTACATCAGTCTTTTTACCACACTTACTGAGATCTGAATGGAGAATAGTCTTTGGCTAGCTTCATAAATAACTGATGCTGCAGCTCAACTGGAGTCTCTTTGAATATTGAAGCAGGTTTATCATAAAGAGTAATCGCTCTGAAAAAAAACATCAATGAACAAACTGAGTGTAGGTGTGAAAGGCAAACTTTTTTTTTTTTACATACAGTAAAAAAATAAATAAATGAGAAGTCAATTTGCGCTGAATAATTAAAACAGACCACTAGAGCAGCAACAGAATATGGTATTGTGTAACTTTGACACGTGATTCTAATATGATATACAGCATTGGAAGGTCGCCTGATTTCATTAAAAACAGCATAGGTCATCAGTACAAATGTTCATTTTATCTAAAAATGGAGGATGGGTGCATTACGGAACAAATTCACCCCTGCATAATTCTTGGTCATTACTTACCTAACAGGATATAAAAGCAAAATATTTGCTGATAAATGGTTGGAACATGAGGAGAGTGTAGCAGAACTTAACAGAACAGACTGAAGTACTTTTACCCTTTCATGCCTAAGGGTAAAACAAATCTTAAAGCCTAAGTGTAAAACAAATATTAAAGCCTAGTAAGTAAAGTTTTACAACTTTTGACATACATACATACACAACTACATATAATCACAACTACTTTGTACATCCAGGTGGATTATACCTTGGTTTTTTTTCAGGACAAATTGGGCTTTCATTTAGTGGTAAATGGTAATGGATATCCCCTGATTTTATTTTCTTATTATCAAAGGAAAACTGACCAAAAATAATTTTAAAAATATATATATTTTTTTATTTAGCTGTGAGTTCCTTGTTACTACCATAACCTACCACCAAAGAACAACCCAAAATAAATTCTCCAGCTCTCAACGATCGCAGTGATACCATATATGTGTATGCTATTTGTTGTTTGTACCTGTAGTACAGCCCAGAAACAATAGTAATAAAACAAAGTTTTACATTAAAAAAAAAAAATTTTAAATCCTGACCTTTGATCCTTGACCCTAACACTAACCCTGGCACTGAACTAGATCAAACCTTGATCTAGGTATTTCTTTTTTTACAGTTTCAGAGAGAAAAAAAAAAACAAGGGACAGGCTTCACAGTGACTGATCACTGTGATAGCCAATCAAAGGCTATTACAGTGATCATGTGACCCAAAATCGAGAGTCCCGGGCCACATGGAAAAAATCCCAGTTCTGTGAGGCCGGATATTTGTGTCACGTCAGCGCCAAGGAGTTAACAGCAGTTATTTGACAATTGACAAATTGGCAAGCTATGAAGGGAAAATAGTGCAGTTGGCACTACATGAAGAACTTTGGTAGGATAAAATGAACAAATGAAAGAAAAATCTGTATGGGGAAAAGTAAAATTTCTTGCTTGCAGTAGGGCAGCTCTGTGTTGCAAGGAGTATCAATGCTCATTTTGGTCTAAGGGACAGAAAAAGCAGTTTTACTTTTCCCTGAAGTTTGGCTTTGAGTAAGGATTAAATATGAGTCAAAAGTAAAAATGAACATCCTTTTGGAAAGCGCCAAAGCTTTATTAAGGAGGGGCACAGACAGGCAAAAGGCGTAGACAATTTCTTGACAAACAAAAACCTTTGCAAAAAGGGTAAGTGCTAAGAACTGCTTATGGGTATGGAAATGTGATGTTTCCAATCCACTTAGATAGGGGATGATGAAGAAAAACCTAGGAGGAGCATTAAAATACTGTAGAACTATAGGCTTTTTTTCCACATTTGGGATAGAGTAAAAGACGGTTATAACCCCTGGCAGTTTACTTTTTCCCATCTGTGTCCCATTGTGGAGATTGCCCTTTACTTCCTGTCCCATAGACAAGACAGAAAGTGAGAAGAAATCCCTGCAAATTAAGGGAGTTCCTTGGGGACCATTAGGTCACCAGAACTAGTGTCCATATTGAAAGATTTCCACTCTATTAGTTTTCTGGGACAACCCAAAATTTGGGAATTTCTTTTACTTTCACCTTCAATGTTAATGGTAAACAGGGCAAATAGAGCAAAAAACGTTCTGCCTTTAGTTGTGTGAGAAACAAAAAAAAAAGTCCCTGCATCAAGTTCAACCCTACACATATTACAAATTAGGTCTTAGGCATGATGCTTGCAGGTGCAGGGTGAAATACCTTTGGTTTGGTACCAGACATGTCGCTAATAGCAGACCGTGGCACCTAAAAAGAAAAAGGGCTACCCAAATCTAACTTATTACTCAGGGAACAGCAGAGCTTAGGGAGTACAAGGAAGAATTCCAGGCTGTGAAAAGTTGTGACAAATGTGACTACTTTCATTACATTTGGAGCCTTAGGTGCACAAGGACTGTGTTTGCTCCCAATGTTGCATCTCTGAATACTTAGACTTGTCTAAAAGGGAGAACCATGATCAAACCTGCAATTCTGAAAATATTGCTGGGCCAATGACTGGCTCTTAAAATCTCTGCACTGGAGATAGGTTGTTTGCTATGCGTGTGCAAGTAAACACCAAGATTTTAGAGTCTAAAATAAGGTTTTATTTCAAGCATATGGTAGGTACTACAGCCAATGCATTCAGCAGCCGGTGACCTAGTGCTGAGTGAGATTTTAACTTTCAATTCAAGTCCCTACAAGCAGTTGCTGCTTATTTTAAGGCCTGATGAAGGGGACAATGTAGCACCTGCCATATGTTTGTAATAAAACCATGAACTCTAGAATCTTGGTGTGACACATTTTTCACACTAAACATTTCTGGATCCACAGTGGGGACAGACCACTTTTTAACAAAGTCCTCTTCAAACAGATACAAGACTAATAAGTGTTTTAGGTTCTCAAACGTCTTGTCAGGGTGTTTCCATTCTCTGTAGAAGTCCGTTTGGAACACAGGGTGCACTGGGAAAGTTATTGTGGTCTTGGGGTGTTAAAGGACCCATGACTGGGAACAGCACTGGTAGAAGCAACAGGCTGATAATATGGGTTTAGAGTGGAGTACACCACATCAATAGAGGCTGAAAAGGCTGAGATTTCAGAGTAAAAGCAGGAGCCTGCAACGCCTTAGAGGCAAGCTTGTGTGGTAAGTGATGGTAAGTGTACAAATATCTGGAGGACTTGTTACCAGAACAGGGTCTGGAAAGTTTCTTTCACACAAGGTCACATACAAGCTGGTTTTTTTTAGTTTTCCAGTGTCCAATCTTTCTGTAGGTGGTCAATGGACAAGAAAAAAATAAATTTGTAATATACAGAATATAGGAAAAATAAAAGATATGTGCATTTGATCATTTTAATTTTAACCAGTAAAAATCATACTCATCTGTTCTACAGCCTTACTTTATCTTCCAGTTAAGCATCAAATCGTCTTTCATTGCATTTGTCACACAGAAGTTGTAATCTGAAAGTCTGCCAAATATTTTCTCATACCTGCAATAGAAAAGGGGATGCAGCAAAATAAAGACCCCACATTGCAATGGTTAACTGCTCATTAAGTGGAGCAGAGAAATTGGGGCCTATTCACACTTGGGAATGAGGACATGTGCGATTACATGCAGGAACCCCAGTGGGGGTTCCTGGTGATTAGCTGCAGGAGGCAGCCCCATTGAAAGCAATAAAAGACAGACAGCTCTTGAAGCTAGTCGCAACTGCTCTCATGTAATCACTCATGAAGCAGTTATTTGCAAGTGACAGGCCCTGGATGCAGAAAGAATTGCTGGCCAGAGTGCTGAAGAAAAGAAGCCATAAGGGACTGTTAGCACGGTGTGGTGGAAGCCTGCAGAAGTAAGTGTTACAGCTTATTCCTCTACTCCTACGACTTAAGAAGCGGTAAGCTTTCCAGTGCAGCGAAAGTTCCACTGCAAGGGCAGTTTTAGGAAAAATCCGGGAGTTTAGCTTTAAAAAAATTAGCCAATATAAATAAGCAGTAAACATCTCCTTAAGGATTACCATTCATACAATTGGAAAATAAAATGCCAGCATTTGGTTGAGGTGGAAATTCTTTCTCACTATCTTAGTGACAGAAGAGGAAGTGGAGAAAAATGACAAAATGTAATACAAACAGCAACAAAAAAAAAAAAAAAAACGAAAGGAAAAAACAGTTTTGGCTTCAGTTCTATTTTAACAGCTTATTAAAGGAATGTATAGTGTAATTGAACATAACTGGTTTAATTATTTAAAGAAAATTTTAAGAGTACGGTAAATGTAAAATTCTGTAAAAGATAATAATGCTGTATATGGTAAAAAACATTAATAAAAAATGTATAAACTTAAAACAATATAACTCACAGAAATGTTATAGTTTTCCTTTAAGGTTGTACAAAATCCCTTATGTTATTAGAATACGTTTACAATAAATGAAAAGGCTGTTGTTAAACGAACCTGTGTACATATTCAACATAATTTTTAAGGCAAAGATTTGTCCTAGATTCAAAACACATTAGAAAATGTACTTACCATTTTGCAATAAGCAGGATTGGATGTCTGGGTCTGTGTGTCAGACTCATGATCGTGTATCCATAGTTGTGCCAATCAATTATTAGCTTGCATCTTCGAAGATAGCAGAAGACCCATGTAACTGCAATGCTAGGTAAACCTGGTGGATTCTACCTTAAAAAAAACAGAAAACAGATATGCCCTGAGACTGTGCCCATAATATACAAATAAAAAAGGGAAAACACAGGAGGTAATTCAATTCCAATTGACTAATTGCAGAAAAAAAAAAAAGTCCAACTCTGTGTATCAGTACATGGTGCACTGCGATAAAATGCAGCATGTCTGCATTTTACTGCAGCACGATGTGTTGCAGTGTGAATGGGAAACATAGGAAACATTTTTTCCTGTGTGTTCCTGCAGTGACAAACGTTTTACATTGCAGTAAAACGTTTGTCACCACACATAGTGTGAATTAGCCCTTAGTACTGGATTCAGCCTGCTGGTGTCTAATAATCAATTGTTCATAAAAAGCATACAGCTAAACAGGGGCAGATAAAATGCATATATGGGAATTGTTTTACCAGCCAAAGGATTGTAGTTCTGTCCATCCATTCCTGAGATTTATATAGCACAGCCAGGTGTACGACACCATTTACCTTTAAGGAATACAAGTGTTCTCTCTAGCGTCCCCAGCTTTCTAACTGAATAAAAACAGCAACAATAGAACAATGAGGTTACTCCTGTGCTTACTCTTACCCTGCATGTGGCACACCTGAACAGCTCCTAGTCCTGTTCCTGCTGTATGGGGGATTACAAGATACCCAGTTTCATATTAAATAATACATTTAATGAATTCTTAATGAATACAAAGTTGAATTAAAGTTGAACTTTAGTTAACTATTTTTTTTTTCAGCACAAGGGACAGTACTTACATTGAATGAAAAGTGTCCCTTGTGTTGGTGACTGCTCTCTTCATTTAAATCTTCAGTCATCAACCCCTCTCCCCCACACACACACACACCAGTGCAGTGGCAATCTTTTGGTGCTGGACCTGGACCTGTCATAGGCACTTGTCAAGAATGCGAACAATGTCCACCCTTTCTGCCCCCCTCCACCTCCTCCCAAGAATCTGAACTACAGCTTCCACAGACACAGACAGACCTTTCATTCATCCACCCATCCTCCATTTATAAAGCACTTTTTATTGCTGGAAGCTATAGCACAACTTCTATGGATAGTTGAGGAAAGGAGAGGTTGAGAATAGTCTGCACACCTGACAAGTCTATGATAGGTCCTGTGGCTTGGGTTAACCCCTGAAGTGCCAGAAGATTACTGCCTCAGGGGTATGCAGGGGGAAATACTGAACATTTGAACAGAGAAAGCATCCACCAGCACAAGGGACACTTCTCATTCAATGTAAGCACTGTTCATTGTGCTGATGAAAAAAAAAAGAAGTAAAGTAAGCTTTAAATTGTTTTTTGTGTATATCTACATGGAATGAAGGTTTACATGAACATTTTGATATCTTTAGCTAAGCAAAGTTTAAATGTGATAGCACCTTTACCTGAAGAAGGATAAAAGATGGTGGATCAATTTTCATCAGTACCCAAAACAGCTGTATTGCTTGTACCATGACCTTTAAAACATACCGACATATCCTCGGACAAGCTAAAAAAACAAAGATGATTATTATACAGGATTTATAAAATGCCAACAGTTTGCGCAGTGCTTTACAATGAAGTGAGAGAGTACAAGGCAATAAAATACAAGAGGGTTAAGAGGGCCCTACTCATAAGAGCTTACAATCTAATAGGGTGGGGCAAGTGGTACAAAAGGAGGTATAACTGTGGGAGATGAGCTGATGGAAGTGAAAAAAGTTTATTTGGAGGCATAGGCTTTCCTGAAGGGAGGAGTTTTCAGGGATTGACTAAAGGCAGCCAGAATAGGAGACACTAGGACAGATTGAGGTAGAGAGTTGCAGAGGATGAGAGAGGCTCTGGAGAAGTCCTGGATATGAGCATGGGAGGAGGGGACAAGGGAGCTTGAGACCAGAAGGTCTTGATAGGAGCAGAGAGGGTGATTGTGTGATATTTGGAGAAAAGATTGGTGATGCAACTTGGTGCAGAGTCTTAATTGATAACAGCAAAATAAAACAAATTGATTATCCATCCAGAGGAGACATGCTGCTCTACGTTTTCATGTTGTTTTTAAACACATCATTATAGTACCAGTTTTAGTTGTATGGATCAATTAGTAGTACGACACAATCATTCATAATGGAATTACCTGCCAACCCTTTGAAGTCAGACATCTTGTGGATTTTTATTTTCTTGTTGTTCAAGACATCTTTGTGAGGATCGGTTTCTTAAAAAAAAAAAAAAAAAAAAAAAAAATAGTATACAGTTATTTCATTATTGGCAAAACTAACTGACATTCAAAAACCATATTATTATGCACATAATAACATGTGCAGTCTGCCCATAAGCTAAATCAACAGGAAAGCTTTTCAAGGCACTTTTTAAAAGCAACCTAAAATACAGTACCATAGTTACTTCTTTATGCCACACCATTAGAGGCCTAAACCAACGTATCAGCAAAGCCATTTATTAACCATATAGAACCACATACAGTGGGGCAAAAAAGTATTTAGTCAGCCACCAATTGTGCAAGTTCTACCACTTAAAAAGATGAGAGAGGTCTGTAATTGGCATCATAGGTAGACCTCAACTATGAGAGACAAAATGAGAAAAAAAATCCAGACAATCACGTTGGCTGATTTGGAAAGAATTTATTTGCAAATTATGGTGGAAAATAAGTATTTGGTCACCTACAAACAAGCAAGATTTCTGGCTCTCACAGACCTGTACCTTCTTCTTTAAGAGGCTCCTCTGTCCTGCACTCATTACCTGTATCAATGGCACCTGTTTGAACTTATCAGTATAAAAGACACCTGTCCACAACGTCAGTCACACTCCAAACTCCACTATGGTGAAGACAAAAGAGCTGTCGAAGGACACCAGAAACAAAATTGTAGACCTGCACCAGGCTGGGAAGACTGAATCTGCAATAGGCAAGCAGCTTGGTGTGAACAAATCAACTGTGGGAGCAATAATTAGAAAATGGAAGACATACAAGATCACTGATAATCTCCCTCGATCTGGGGTTCCATGCAAGATCTCACCCCGTGGGGTCAAAATGATCACAAGAACAGTGAGCAAAAATCCCAGGACCACACGGGGGGACTTAGTGAATGACCTACAGAGAGCTGGGACCAACGTAACAAAGGCTACCATCAGTAACACACTACGCCGCCAGGGACTCAGATCCTGCAGTGCCAGACGTGTCCCCCTGCTTAAGCCAGTACATGTCTGAAGTTTGCTAGAGAGCATTTGGATGATCCAGAAGAGGATTGGGAGAATGCCATATGGTCAGATGAAACCAAAACAGAACTGTTTGGTAGAAACACAACCCGTCGTGTTTGGAAGAGAGAGAATGCTGAGTTGCATCCAAAGAACACCATACCTACTGTGAAGCATGGGGGTGGCAACATCATGCTTTGGGGCTGTTTCTCCGAAAATGGACCAGGACGACTGATCCATGTACAAGACAGAATGAATGGGGCCATGTATCGTGAGATTTTGAGTGCAAACCTCCTTCCATCAGCAAGGGCATTGAAGATCAAACGTGGCTTTGTCTTCCAACAACATGACAATGATCCCAAACATACCACCCGGGCAATGAAGGAGTGGCTTCGTAAGAAGCATTTCAAGGTCCTGGAGTGGCCTAGCCAGTCTCCAGATCTCAGCCCCATAGAAAACCTTTGGAGGGAGTTGAAAGTCCGTGTTACCCAGCGACAGCCCCAAAACATCACTGCTCTAGAGGAGATCTGCATGGAGGAATGGGCCAACATACCAGCAACAGTCTGTGCCAACCTTGTGAAGACTTACAGGAAACGTTTGACCTCTGTCATTGCCAACAAAGGATATATAACAAAGTATTGAGATGAACTTTTGATATTGACCAAATACTTATTTTCCATGCAATGCTGTATCTAAATGTAAATTTTTCCCTGTGATAACAATAGGTAGTGGCAGGTACTCTTTTCTGAGAAATATGGGGTCTATTAGATTCTACATCTTCCTCTGCACTTAAAGTATCTGATCACATCAAAATCAGTGTGATCAGATGCTTTCCCAATTTAAAAATTATGCTGTTTATATCCGAAGAAATCAAAATGATGAAATGCTCATTGCTTCTGGTTTCTTAAAATATAGAGATGATTGGAGACATGCTGGTCTCTGATCAGCTCTATAGACAGCCGGCTGAACCACCAGCTGCAGGCATCATTCTGGTATAACCAGTTCAGTGACGTACTAGTACATTGCTGGTCCTTGTTGAGCATACTGTATTACCTGCCAGTAGACAGGCGATATTTTAGCAATGTACAAAATAACAATGAGGGGAACTCTGCACTGGCCAGTAAGTTAAAAGTATACAATGTATCAGTGTGGAAATGTTCTGCCCTGAGCCCAGGAATAAAAATAAATTGTAACATTTCACCAGAGGGAGAAGGTTCTGTGAATGAAAGCACACTAGAATGTTTTCACAGTTTCATATTCCTGTGTGCATGTATTTACAGAACTAGCTTCTTCTGCTGCAGTGCTAGCATGTAGGAACTAAAAACGCCAAAAATAACGCTACATTTCAGTGATAAATGTCGCAAAAACATAAATATTTAACACATTCTGTAAGTAATGCATTTTTTTGTGAATTGACTACTTTTAAAATAAATATCACGAGTTATTTTAACTCAAAAATGAATGTGGTATTATCTCTTAGGGCAGGTTCACACAGGTTTGGATGCGTTTCTGCACATACGTTTTTGACTCGTTCCAGTGCATTTTTTCTCCTCTTTTTTCTTCATCTCAGTTCAAAGACTTGGGCATTCTGGTGCATTTGTAATGCTTTCTGGTGCACTAGTGCGGTTTTGCTATATTTTGCTGCAATCCAGATGTGTTCCAAACAGAACAAAAATACTACATGTTCTACTATTGTTGACTGCACTGCACTGCTGTGAACTACGGCCATTGGAATACATGGGAAAACACTCTGCATGCGTGTTTGATGTAGATTCAAAATGTACTGGACAACAACTGGTGTGAATCAGCCCTTAGGCTACATTCACACTGAGCTGAGTGTTTTTCAAGAGATTTTGATTGTTTTTTTTGAGCATATTTGCAAATGTTATAGGTGTTTTTCATGTGTTTTTGCTGTGGCCAATAGAAATAAAAATATCTGCAGTTTGTTTCAAGCATTTTCATCTTAAAAGTAGCGTAAGTACTTTTTTGAACGACAGATGTTTCGCTAAGCAACAGAACACTCACGTGTGAACAGGGGCCATTTAAAATAATGGGATTTTACTTGTTGAGCGTTTCTGAGTGTCAAGCTTCAAGCTGAAAAGTGCTCAAGTGTACTGACATAACCTGAACTGAAGATGGGTGTACACACTGATATAAAAGGATTCAATGTTCATGTTTTTTTTTTTATTATTAAAGTAGCTGTAAAGGCTGAAGGTTTTTCTCCAGCCCCCCTATTACTTAGCTGAGCCCCATCCAGTGTGATACAGCGATGTGCATGAGAATACCAGCTCTCCAGGGACTCTCCCTCCTCATTGGCTGAGACAGCAGCAGAAGTCCCATTATCCATTGTTAATGGACATGCAAAGCAGCAGCTCAGGAGCTAGTGTGCTTAGGTGCCCCCATAGCAGGCTGCTTGCTTTGGGGGCACTTGATATAAGGGAGGAGCTACAAGCACTGGTGGGGAGTCTAAGAAGAGGAGGATTGAGGCTGCTCTGAGCAAAACCTTTGCACAGAGCAGGTAAATATAACATGTTTTTTTTTCTTTAAAAAAACTGCCTTTAATATCACTTTAATCAGTTATCATGACAGAACTGACAATACTTGTGTTTAATGAAAAAAAAAACCCTCTGCATTTAGATGCATACAGCAGATAGTGTTATACGCATCTAAAACACACTATAGTAATCAATGAGCCCATACACACAGCTGCGTCTTCATACAGATATGTGCACTGCGTTTAGCCAAAAAAAGTAGGACACAGCTGAAGATTGTACTCACGTACACACACATGTATGAACATGAGTACTAGAAGTGCATATTTTATGCAGGATCTTTCTTTTTTCATGAAGCAAATACACATCTACTGTACATGCAATGTTTTTTCTGTCTGTGTAAATGAGCCTGTCACGGACTGCCAGTGCCTCTCCCATCCCCCGCCATATTCCTCCACCCCTCCCTTCCCCCTTATACATTAGAAGGTCTGTGGGGCTTCCATGGACAGGGCTGGGCCAGCCGTTGCCGAGGCAACCTAGCCGCGTCCCACATGATCTTCAAGAGACCCACACAGGAAGCAGCCTTCCCTTTTGTTCCTGGCCATGTGAGTAGAATCATCCTGCTCCCAGAAAGATGCTGGGAGGCTCGGGTGAGGGGGACCGAGTCTCCCCAGCCATCCCCCCTGCGCGCTCTGCAGACCCCCAAAAGGTCAGGACTGTAGCCCTCTGCAATACCTCGGGGTTGGGAGTCTCCACAGCTCTGCATGAGCCTTCTCCTCAAAGGTCAGACCCCACAACTGAGACCCTGCCAGTCTGTAAGCCTGTCTACTGAGCACCCTTGCACCCTGTCTGCTGCTGAGTGCCCTGGGAGTTGTTGCTGAGGGGGCCTGCATACTATCCGTGGCTGCGTGTCCCTGGAGGCTGTCTTCTGCTGAGTGCCCTGGGAGCTGCTACTGTCTGCTGATCGCTGGTTGTCCCTGGAACGCTGACCGCTGGTCATCCCTGTCTGGAGCCGCCTGCCGCTGAGGGTCTGCAAGCTGCTTACCGTGAGTGCCCTGAACTGTTCCTGTTGTGCGCACTGACCACCCGTGTCCTGAACTGTTCCTGTTGTGCGCACTGACCACCCGTGTCCTGAATTGTCCCCGCTGTGTGCACTGACCACCTGTGTCCTGAACTGTTCCTGTTGCGTGCACTGACCACCCGTGTCCTGAACTGTTCCTGTTGTGCGCACTGACCACCCGTGTCCTGAACTGTTCCTGTTGTGCGCACTGACCACCCGTGTCCTGAACTGTTCCTGTTGTGCGCACTGACCACCCGTGTCCTGAACTGTCCCCGCTGTGTGCACTGACCACCTGTGTCCTGAACTGTTCCTGTTGTGCGCACTGACCACCTGTGTCCTGAACTGTCCCCGCTGTGTGCACCGACCACCCGTGTCCTGAACTGTCCCCGCTGTGTGCACCGACCACCCGTGTTCTGAACCGCCCCGCTGTGTGTGCACTGACCACCCGTGTCC